TGGATTTATACCCCACCCCTCACTACCCAGAGGAGTCTCAGAGCGGCTTACAAAGTCCTTTCCCTCCCCCTCCCCACAACAGACACCCTGTGAGGTAGGTGGGGCTGAGAGAGCTCTGACAGAAACTGCTCTTTTTCAAGAACAGCTGTGCTAGAACTATGGCTTGCTTAAGGCCATCCAGCCAGGTGCAAGTGGAGGAGTGGGGAATCAAACCCTGTTCTCCCAGATTAGAGTCTGTGCTCCTAACCCCTACACCCAACTGGCTCTCAGTTGGCAGGAGCTGGGGCCAGAGACAGGTCTTGAACTCCCAAACTACAAACCTTCCAGTCTGCAGCTAAGTGTCTTGACCACTGAGCCACTGTGGCCCCTTGTCCTGCCCCTGCCTTGCCTTTAAAAAACAGTCAATTTACATATTGTATCTATTCATCTAGACCATTGGCCTTCCGCACATGCATCAGGGCCCTCAGGTAACTCATTGGACCCCACCTGCTGAGTTGCCAGACCCCAAACCATTGCCTTTGTGTTGTTGCTGCTTTTGGAGAGCACTTACTACTAGTGTATATGCATAGAGAACAAGAGAACCACACCTTTTGTCTCATCTTGCATATATGTGAAGCAGTGCGACAGCAAGGAGATATCAGCTGGCAGATGACTACATGGGTACAGGAAAAAAGGTGATCTATGATTACAAAAGGCTATGAAATGCAAGATATAAAAAAACTGACCTCTTTAAGAAGCTCAAGTGAGCACAAGAAAAGTATAAAGGCCATGTACCTCTCAGTCTTCCTAGTTTAGCTATGTTATATTAACATATGTGGTGGGGGGAAGAAATCTCAGCCCTAGAATTAAACTTGCTGAGAAATTCTAGTACAAGAATGTCCCATATAGTCTGCCATTGTTTTACTAAGAGGAAAACTCTATCTAAACAATTTTGATCTTTATTTCGAGGAAAATAAATGTTTGAGGCTATACATCCTGGTGGTGGTGGTGGAAAGTACCATCCAGTCACAACTGAATTATGATGACCCCATGGGGTTTTCAAGGCAAGAGACACTCAGAGGTGGTTTGCCATTGCCTGCCTCCACATCACAACTCTGGCATTCCTTGGAGGTCTCCCATCCAAATACTAGCCAGGGCCAATCCTGCTTAACTTCTGAGATCTAATGATGAGATAGGGCTAGCCTGGGCTATCCAGGTCAGGATACATCTTACTCTTCCCAATTTAAAATTCTGTGTTGGTATTCTAGAGCTTGTTGGGAGGAAAAGAGAAAGCAAGAGGACTGTCTGTCTCCACTATAGTGAAAGCAGACATAAAGAAGCTGAAACACTCAGTTTTTTTGTCCCTTGCTTCGTGGAGAGAAAGGTGAAGAGCTGTGTCTAATTCTTTTACAATAAAATGAGAACAACAGTTGCTATGGAGAATCTGCCTGCAAACCTCTCTTGGATATTTAGACCAAACGACACATACGTCTGATGGCTAAATAGCAGTTATAAGCCATGTTGCTATATGTGAACAAGTATTCAGGGTGTACTAAGTGAAGGCTACATTAAGTATTTAGAATTATGCAGACAGTAACATTAACTTGACTAGTTTTGAAAGGCCTTTAAGACATCAGCCCCCTTTAGCATTCATTCACACATTAATTGAAAAGGATTGCACCCACTGGCTCCACCCTTAACAGTGTGCATAAGGGCTTTTTGCAGACATTCAACTGAATCCATGGATGTTGGGGATGGGGCCAGTGGAGGTACTACCATCCCCATCTCCATGCATTTTAGGGTTACCAAGTACTTACTGCGATTCCGGGGGGGGGGCACACGATCCCCGGGCGGAACATTCCTCCCTGTAACATACCCACGCCGCACCATGCCGTTGCCAGGAAGTGATGCTGGGCGACGCTCTGACAATGGGGCTGGCTCGGCGTCACTTCCTGGTGACGGCATGGTGCGGCGCATCTGTTTTCCGTGCGGGAATGGTCCTGGGAAGAAGTATGTGTCCCCCGCCGAATCACGGTAAGTACTTGGTAAGCCTGATGCATTTAATTGTTAGGGAATGTGCATATAAATTGCTTTTATTTGTGCTTGCTGATATACACACGTGCACATGGACTGCAAATCTCTATGGGCTTGGAAAACCTGTGTGTGTCTCATCTGCAGTGCTGTCTGTTCACCTGACAGGCCTTCTGCCTGCTGCGTTTATGCACATGGAGCTTGACACACACACAGTCAGCAAAGGATTGTGGGAACAAGACAACATGGTGAGTTCTTTGTTAGCAGAAAAGGACAACTTCTGGCTGCATATTCTCCATTATGAGAGACCTGAGATGTCAGGAAGGCAGAAACCTAAATCTGCATTTCTATGCCAAAGCATCCTGTTTACAGCTCTTGTGCTCCTGAGAGAGACAAACTACATCAGCACAACAAAAGGAAGATGCAGGAAGCTGCACCTCACACCCTGCCAAATGGTCCATGAGCTAGCCTCTAGAATTACAACATTGCCACTCCCCTAGGGAAAACCCTGCCCCTCTATACCTGCAACCAATCCAAGGGTGACTTTGGGTTGAGCTTAGAGAAAAGGGTGGGACACAAGTCGGCCAACGCCTCCCACCTGGGATATAACACAGAGAGGACACTGAATCTGGGCATTCAGCACTCTGCACTTCACCTTAACTAGCCCTGTACCTGGCTTAGCCCCCTTTCCTTAGGCAAGGCTCTTTTGTGTGAACTCTCTGAAGCTGTATAGCCTTACAGCTACTGAGACTCCATGCCCACTTTAGCTGGCTTGTTCTAGCAATGTGGAAGAGCTATTAATACTAGAAAACGTTTCCTTAGTCTCCAACCTACTATTGCTACAAGACAGCTTCTGGATAAGACAAGTATTTTGCGAATACCTATCTCAGACCCCAAAGTAACTATGGGAACTATTTTATATTCTTTTCTTTATATCTAAAGGAACTTGTATGTTTGTGGTTGTATGATTCTGCTATGTTTTGTATGCTTGTGAAACTTTATATTATTTAGTAAAGAGAACAACTGCTTTTTACAGACACCTTGTCACGTTGTCTCTTTGGGGCTGGATTTCTCATTCAGATCTGCTTTCTCTGTATACATTGACCGCTAACCCACCCCATGGATTGGTCCTCCCCGAATTTGGAGGATCTCTCCTAACATAGTAACTGTGAACAATTATCTGAAGAGGCCTCTTCTACAATAGCAATGAGGAACTGCAGATGGACCTAGCCTTAACACACCCAATGTTAACTACTGGTATGTTTACTACAGGTTTCAGTTTTTGGCTGAAAAACAGCTGCTGTCGGCTGTGCAACCCAATACCCTCAAAATAATTATGGACAGTCCATGCAGTTCTGTATGCACAGCTTGCTTTGAAACCATGAACACCTCATGAGCCAGTTTGGTGTAGTGGTTAGGAGCGGCGGGCTCTAATCTGGAGAACCGGGTTTATTTAATCACTCCTCCATATGCAGCCAACACCTTGGGTCAGTCACCGTTCTCTCAGAGCTGGTCTCTCAAGAGCAGTTCTCTCAGAGCTTTCTCAGCCCCACCTACCTCACAGGGCATCTGTTTTGGGGAGAGGAAGGAAAGAAGATTGTAAGTTGCTCTGAGACTCTGAGTAAAGGGCGGGGTATAAATCCATTTCTCCCCCCCTCCTCCTCCTCTTGGATAAGGGAGTCTCTACACAGAGGCACTCTGATCCAGATGGCCCAGGCTACCTCAATCTCACCAGAACTTGGACGCTAAACTGGATTGGCTCTGATTTGTATTTGGATGCTAGACTACCAAGGAAGTCCAGGGTTGCTATGTAGAGGCAGGCAATGGCAAACCACCTCTGTTTGTATCTTGCCTTGATAACCCTCAGGGGTCATTTCGTAGAAAAAGAGCTAGAGGGACTCATTAGCATAACTCATTAGCATATGCCACACCCCCTGACATCACCGGACGTGTGTCCTCCCCACAGCCGGCGGCGACCTCCAGCGGGCACCAGCAGGGAGCTCCAGGCCCCGCCCCCCCGCACCTCACCCGGGGGTGGGGATGGCGTCCCCCCGTGTCCCCCCCCCCAAATGACCCCTGATAACCCTACAGGGTTGCCAAAAGCCAGCTGTGACTTGATGGCACTTTCCACATACACAGAGGCATCACACCTTTGAATACCAGTGCTGGGAGGCAGTATCACGGGAAGGTCTTGGCCTCTATGCAGTGTGAGCCCTCCAGGGCAACTGGTAGTCCATTTTGCTGGACTAGATGGACCAGTGGTCTGATCCAGCAAGCTCTACATATGTTCTTATAAAAAGATGCAGAGTTAAAGATGAAATTCTAAATCCATATTATTTTACACGTTATGGTCCAGGTTTTCAATTATGTTTGAATAGAGGTAGTGTGATGAGAAGTTTAACTACCATGGTCACTACCATAACCTCTACCTGACAGACTAACCCAAGTGGTTTCTCAATCTAGTTAATTCAGATGAGGCATAAGGTAAACACGAAAAACCCAATAACTTTTATTAGCTTTTTTGGACAGAATAATGTTCAGTAAAGAGACTTGAAACTATATACAAGTATAACACACAGCATTTACAGGGCTCATTCAGGTATGCTTCATCTGTAAATTTCTGGATGCAGAGAACAATTGTCAGTCAAGCTTTTATTCCTGAGGTGACTTTTTGGCCTTTGCACAACTTTAGGTATCCCAAAGTGTATGGGCTCCTTCTGGAAACTGCTTTAACCAGGTTTTCCTTGAAACTCAGCTCAGATAGGTACAGTCGTCACTGGGCCCCAAAAATGAGCCCAGGCCTAGTATAAATGAGCTAAAGAGGTGATCAGACCTGCACCTAAATCCACTCTGACCCAACAGTATTTTCCCCCAGACATGAGGGAGGGGATGAGAGAATGCCAGGCAGTACTTTCTTGAATACAGATGTAATGTTTATTAAACTCATACTAAGAAGATTCAGAAATACCCCATTGTATTCAACCCTTAGACATGTGCACATCCATACATACCAAGGCAGGCTTTCGACAGAGCTGATACAATTTGAATTGGAGAATCTTGACAGAGGGTGAAGGGGATTCTGCCCTTCCCTTGCCCTTTACTGCTTCTATACTCCTTTATGTCTCAGGTCCCTCTAAAGTTTGTGCCCTCATTTCTAGGATCAGCCAGATCCAGGTAGGTGGTGCCTTATGTTTGGGATGAAAACTACTACTTTCCCTCTTATCAGAAGGTTGCGGTGGGCGACTTTGGAGACTTGGTGAGGTCTGATGCCAGGGGTGTCTTCAGTATCTTGGCCAGAGTTTTCCTAGCACAGTAGCCAAGAGACCACTATGGAAGGGCTGAGGGGGGTGGGAGACAATCATGCACGTAATGTCCCTTTGAATGCCCTGCAAACTGGAGAAGTATCTTCTACTTTTGCAGCTGGTATTTGCTGCAAACACTGGACAGATTTATCTGCTCATGGCTTGTCTTCACGTGGCCTTCAACTGGACACAGTCACACCCAGCCATATTCATCCACATGTTCATGCCTTCAACCTAGCATTCAATGAAACAAAGATCAGATAACAAAAACACAGGCTAGCAATGCATGTTGGTTAAAAGAAAAGAAAAATTCAAGCACAGAAGATTTTTTAAAAAACATAAATTCAGTATAAAATGAAGCATACATTCTTTCTAGTTTCTCACAGTCTCCTTTTAAAGCCTTCACCAAATTAGCCTATTTTCCCTACAAGACAGGCTCTGAAACCTATAAAGTCTCCTGAGACAGGATCCCTCCAGTCTCACTGCCTAGAAATACAAAATCTGACTCAAATTTGACAGTTTTATGGATTTTCTTCTTCTCTCCCACCTGGGTCATCCAGTAACAGTGCTACTCAGGCCAGACCTTGTGGTGGCCACCAAGCTACTTATTGGCCCAGCAGCAGCAGCCACCATGCAACTTGCCTGGTGACTTGTTGCTGCGCAACCTCAGCAACCTGGCCAGGCCCAGCATGTGACTTGCTACTGTGCAACTTTTACAGCTTGGCCAGACTTTTCCAAGGGAGAGGCTGCTAGGGTAATGGAAAAGAGAAAGCTAAAGACTGGGGGGGGGAGAGAGATAAAGGCTGGTGGGAACAAGAGATGGAAGCAGTAAATGGGGGGGGGCATGGGATCTGCCTGGGGGGAAGAGGAAATAATGTGTGAATGGGGATACAGGGGTAAATGAGATGGCATCCACAACTCTTTGTGAGTCCCCTGCTTGTGAATTATTTTGATTACTGCACCCTTTATTTAGAACACAGATTCATGTTCAGAAGCTTGATACTGTACCTAAGTATTACGTGGAGAAGAATATTGCTGTGGTAACTGTATTACTTGTTTTTATTTCCTGAATGTACTGTTTGAACTGGTACACACATGACAAACTTAGTCTTAACTACAGTTAAAAGACTAAGTGAGAGCAACTGCAAATCACAAGCTTCCTTTCCCCAGTACATATTCTCACATTCTTCCCTGCCAGATGCAACTGCAGTTAAGTATTACACATTGACACCAATGTTAACTATGGTTAATACTGACCACAGTTTCCTCTTAACTAGGAATTGAAATTGGTTAGTAAACCTTGTTTAAAACAGGTTAGATTAGCCACAGTTAACATCATTTTAACACAGTCTGGATCTGCAGAGTAGATTTGTTAGAAGATGGCTGTTCCCACTCCCAATCTTTACCAAAAATTATCTCAGATTTTAAACATTTGTTGTACTGCTCAGAAGCAGATTATTAGGCATAATCACTACTCACTTCCTGCGGCCATTTCATAGATTACTATTCCCTTTAATCCACTTATCAATTGCATGTTCATATTTCTTTGGATGTTTCTTCCAGTCCTGATGCCATCTGAGGTTAGCTAAAATATCAGAATAATTTTGTCCTACACTTTCTTTCCATTTGATAAACTGCTGCTTGTTGTATAGTTCAACAAGGGCAGAGACTTTTGGATAGTCAATGATGGAATGGAGCTTTCTATCTAAAGTTTGGGTCATTTTTGGAAACTTTGTTGCTACATTTGTCAGTTCATCTGGATCAGCAGAGAGGTCTGTAACAAAGAAAGAAAAGATAAATTAATAGATATGAAGCACATTGAGGCTTTACTTTGAGACAAACCTATGTTACAGTTTAATGCTATGATACAAACAATATGGCCATCACAATACTTACACTTACACAATACCCTTTTCTCAGCCTGCAGTACTGCATTTAATAATGACACAGCAACACACTGTTATAGAGTCTGTGGCAACTGTGCAATTCTTCTACCGAACACACCATCACACTGGAATAACCACCCATCTAGTATGCAGGAAAAATAACAGTGAAGATGCCTCAATGTAATGTCTGTGCTGCTGGCAATTTCTATCCCTCTACCTTCAGCCTGATCCTGACCAGTGAGGCTTACATAGGTGACTAATAGCAGCCTTCATCACTGTGGCTCCACTCTTTACACTGTAGGTCAGTGTTTAAAGTGTTGCACTATAATAGTGATAGTTAATACAGCTCCTAGAAGATGCTGTCTCTACCTCTTGTCCACAGTTAAATCTTTTCAACATACTTCAAAAAGGATGTGTGCATTCATCTACATTTTTTAAATGACTGGTTTTTAATGGAACTGTGGGTGAAAAAAGGAGGAAGCAAAATCACTAAAAAAGACTAGAAAAGCAGCTTTGAAGCAGACAAATTAGGTTGGTGGTTGAGAGTACTTCATTAGGAACTGAGGGAACCTGATAGATGGTATTATCTCCCTTTTCTGGCTCCATACCGTCACAATTTATGTGTTCCATACAGTTCAAAATTATCTAGTTCTATATTTACATTTTGTATTTTGTGTTTAAAGTGTTGCACTATAATAGTGATAGTTAATACAGCTCCTAGAAGATGCTGTCTCTACCTCTTGTCCACAGTTAAATCTTTTCAACATACTTCAAAAAGGATGTGTGCATTCATCTACATTTTTTAAATGACTGGTTTTTAATTGAACTGTGGGTGAAAAAAGGAGGAAGCAAAATCACTAAAAAAGACTAGAAAAGCAGCTTTGAAGCAGACAAATTAGGTTGGTGGTTGAGAGTACTTCATTAGGAACTGAGGGAACCTGATAGATGGTATTATCTCCCTTTTCTGGCTCCATACCGTCACAATTGATGTGTTCCATACAGTTCAAAATTAACTAGTTCTATATTTACATTTTGTATATTAAAATCATAATGCTAATGCTTTCATTTGTATTATTTAAACAAATACCTTAAGTGTGCAAGTATATAAATCACAGGAGAAATGGATCAACTCAACAGGCAAAGAAGTCGAAATCTAAGTCTCCAACTCAACAGAGAAATTCAAAACCACTGACCCAAAGCCCTCACAATCATGCTACTAGTACCTTTTGTAGTTTCCCCCAGGCCTGAACTATAGCATACACAACTCCTGACTTCTACCTCTTTTTGGTCACACATGTTTCCTGGGATACCTGATCACATTACTCAATCTGGAAGAATCATAGTTTAGTAGTAAACTATATAAAGGCTACAGTCTCAGCTTCAGACTGTAGCTAAAGAGGCTGGGCTAAGAACTTGAAGCTTTGTGTCAGGACCCAAGACCCTCTGAGGAGGAGGAGAAGGAAACTTTATTTATTTGTTTATTGGATTTATATCCCGCCCTCCCCGAAGGCTCAGGGCAGCTAACAAAGAGGCACTAGTGCCAAAGTTAAAACAGATAAAAACAGAATAAAACAATACAGTACAAAACACTAAAATGTCAGTGCTCTAGATGTCACAAAATCAGTGGTTGCAAGATGGGGGTCTGGTAAAAGTTATTAATTCCAGGCCAGCAACGTACCTCCTAGCAACACAATCATCCCATCTTCATCCAGGAACGTCTTGCACCCCATTTAATATCCGCACAATTGATGGTTGAAGTGCAATAATGAGAGGTAGCGATGGTGAAATAATAGTGGTGGTGGCTCCTACTCAAAAGCCTGGCAGAAGAGCTCCGTCTTGCAGTCCCTGTTGAACTCTGGGAGCTCATTCCACCAGGTAGGAGCCACCACCAAAAATGCCCTGGCCCTGGTAACAGCAAATTTGATATTCCTGGGTCCTGGGATTACCAGGAGATTTTGACTCCCCGACCGGAGTGCACTTGGGGGAACATGCGGGGAAAGGCGGTCCCTTAGGTAGACCAGACCCTGGCCATATAGGGCTTTAAAGGTAAGAACCAGCACTTTGAAGCGGATCCGGTACACCATTGGCAGCCAGTGCAGCGCTTTCAGCACAGGCCGGATGTGCTCCTGCCTGGAGAGACCCATCAACAGCCTGGCTGCTGCATTCTGCACTAGCTTTGTATTCTAGTGAGGATTCTTATGCAGATCTCTATATCTGTCAATGCTAGAAAAAGTCAATATAGCCAGAGGAGGTCTCTGTGAGATCTATCAGAGTAGCCACACCAATGGATCCTCCTGAATCCTGGGAGCCCAAGACATGTTCATTGCAACATCTTCAGTTCACCATCTAACACAGGATCCCTACCAAGGTCATTGTTGAGCCCAAGTCAAAGCCTACACTGGAAGGCAGAATGCTTATCTTGCACTAGAGGCCCCACTGGCTCTTAGCACCACTTCCTATGAAATGTCCTGTACCTACATCTGACCAGAATTGGCTTCACTACTGCTATAGGAAGGGGTGCAGCTACACAGGTCTTTTAGGTAGTGTCCAGACTTTTCTTGTACCACCTTTCTATCCAGGTCAGTATATTCTTCTCTCGGCTGTAGTGCTCTACCCAAGACATGTTCATTGCAACATCTTCAGCTCACCATCTAACACAGGATTTCTACCAAGGTCATTGATGAGCCCAAGTCAAAGCCTACATTGGAAGGCAGAATGCCTATCTTGCACTAGAGGCCTCACTGGCTCTTAGCACCACTTCCTATGAAATGTCCTGTACCTACATCTGACCAGAATTGGCTTCACTACTGCTATAGGAAGGGGTGCAGCTACACAGGTCTTTCAGGTAGTGCCCAGACTTTTCTGGTACCACCTTTCTATCCAGTTCAGTATATTCTTCTCTCGGCTCTAGTGCTCTGGCTAGTCCACTCCCCTACTGTTTCAACAACTCTGATTTGTATTCTGTTCCTCACTTTGTTGGGCAGATCCCCTGCCTCACCAATAGATAGAAACCTATTGGTGAGCACAGGTCACTTCAAAAGTCTGCTGCCCTTTCCTATCTTTCCCTTTGACTACTGTTCTCTTTGCCATACTTTGCCCTTCTCAACAGGACAGGATTGTTTACAGTCCTGTAATTTGAGTTAAGACATATTTCTTGTATTCAGATCTGTACAGTTACACCTCTGTGTACAGGATCCTGGAAGGTCACTGCAGACAGGCAGCTAACTGCAAGCACCACCCTTCCATCCTGCCCTCACGCCATTTGTTCTCTGCTCTGCCTTCTAGTGAGTCCCACAAAACTTTGCATGGCAAAGCTGCACTTCTGCAGCTTGATCATTCAAGGGTCTTATACTATGGAAAAATAAGAGTTGTGTAGTTGCTTTAGTGCCCTGACCTGGATAGCCCAAGCTAGCCCAATCTCATCAGTTCTTGGAAGCTAAGCAGGGTTGGCCCTGGTTAGTATTTGGATGGGAGACCACCAAGGAAGTCCAAAGTTGTGATGCAGAGCCAGACAATGGCAAACCACCTCTGAACATTTATTGCCTTGAAAATGTCTGCGACTTGACCACCAGCAGCTACTTTAGTGCAACAATGAGATGTACTGCCTATCCTGCTTATGAGGATCAGATTGAACTTTTAATCAAGTGGAAAATGTACCAAATAACTGAGGAGATACTGAATGATCATCTGAATAAGCTATGTATTTCCATTTGCCAGTTCGCAACATGTAGGTTGAAGAATTCACATTGCAGCCGTGAAATTCACTCAGAACCCAATGAGGATGTTGTTTTCTGGATGGAATGTTATTTTCGGTCTTTGCCAGTATCAATGGCAACAGTGAATAGCCACTGAGGTTTTTTGGTATTGGTATTCCGGCGATATCTGGGGGGGGGAAGACATTAAATGAAAGTAAGAGCAAACACTTGAAATGGTATGAAACCAGTGAAAAAGAAATTATACTACAGTGACTTTCAGAATAGTATTCCTGGAACTTCTTATCCTTTGCATCTCTACTAAACCCAAAAGAGCTACTAAATTCATCAGAATACCTGCACAGGGTAATTCTTTCAATGCCAGTTTCAATTACATTAGAACAGAAACTTATCTTTCCAAATATTAGCAGCTCATTTGCTACCCTAATCCTACACAAACTGGGTACAGTAACACTTTTAGACATGGTGAAATAAAGATAAAGGTTTCCCTTGCTCGAAAGCTAGTTGAATCCAACTCTAGGGGGTGGTGCTCATCTCCGTTTCCAAGCCAAAGAGACAGCGTTATCCGAAGACATTTCCGTGGTCATGTGGCTGGCATGACTTGACGCCGAGGCGCACGGAACACTGTTACCTTCCCACCGAAGCAGTACCTATTTATCTATTTGCAATTTCTTGCTTTCAGGCTGCAAGGTTGGCAGGAGCTGGGGCCAGAGACAGGAGCTCACTCTGTCATGAGGCACTCGGGTCTTAAACTGCAATTAGGTGTGTAACTGTTCAGAATTGAAATCCACCCAAAATTGTATTTGCATAACCTCAGAACACTTAGGTTTATCTCATTCATCTGCATAGGTAAGGAGAGTGTTCCGTGCGCCTTGGTGTTTAGTCATGCCGGCCACATGACCACGGAAACATCTTTGGACAGCGCTGGCTCTTCGGCTTTGAAACGGAGATGAGCACTGCAACCCTAGAGTCGGACTCGACTGGCTTTCGAGCAAGGGAACCTTTACCTTTACCTATACTTCCTGAGTAAAAACTGGGAACAGCTCAACAGATATTCTACACTGAAAGAAGAATATAGCAAGCAATACTATGCAATGTGTGCCTCTCTGAACTAAAAGAAGCTTCTGTTAGGGAGTTAACATTCAGTGCATAAATACTATGCCATATTATCAGGACACAAGTTGTTAAACATAGAGCATGCATGCATGTTTAATAAAGCAACATATAGTCACCTCGAGGTTAGACTACTGTAACGCTCTCTACATGGGGCTGCCTCTGTCGCAAATCCGGAAGCTGCAGCTGGTGCAGAATGCTGTGGCCAGGCTGTTGATGGGTCTCCCTAGTCGACTTGGGACCATATCCGGCCTGTGCTGAAAGCACTGCACTGGCTGCCAATAGCGTACCGGATTTGCTTCAAAGTGCTGGTTCTTACCTTTAAAGCCCTATATGGCCAGGGTCCGACATACCTAAGGGACCGCCTTTCCCCATATGTTCCCCCAAGGGCACTATGGTCAGGGACGCAACATCTGCTGGTGATCCCAGGCCCCAAAGATGCCAGGTATGCTGCTACCAAGGCCAGGGCTTTTTCGGTGGCAGCTCCTACCTGGTGGAACGAGCTCCCGGAGGAGATCCGGGCCCTGCAGGACCTTGCGCAGTTCCACAGGGGCTGCAAGACGGAGCTCTTCCCCCAGGCTTTCGAGTAGGAGCCGCCACTACTTCTACCACTACTTCCACCAACACCAACAACTGAGTTGGGTAACAGCGGGGGGTGAGATGGCCCTGTGTTAAATGAACTACAGCGCTCCGTGGATCTGATACCACTGAACTGGGACTGCTATTCCCAGGAAGCCATCCTGTTACTGAAGACTTTCCTGAAACGTCTTGAGCACTTTGTATTGTTGTAATTGATTGATTGTTTTATCTTGTTTGTAAGTGTTTTAACTATTGGCATATGTGCCCTATCTGTAAGCCGCCCAGAGCCGACTTGCGGGGAGGGCGGGCTATAAATCTAATAATAATTTTTTTAAAAAAATTAAATGACAAAAGAGATGGGCAGAGAAGATACAAATTTATTTACAACAGACTATGGCTAAGAAAATAACCTGTTGTTTTGTTACTCATCTAAATAAATTTAATTCTTCTTCATTTATGTTTTTATTTTTTAACATTCTGACTACAGGAAGGAAGAATCAGCAGAACATATGGAGAATGAGAGAGCAGGAAGGACACTGATTTAAAAATACAAACTTCAGGAAGGAAAAAAAAATTAACACAGTTGGAACAAAAAAGGCACCAGCAAAAAAAGGGAAAGATAGAGATGGATTAAAATATGTACTGTGTGACTCAACTGATTAGTAATGTTAAATCAAGGCCTCTGGTTAGAACGTAGGCTTGGGCAGACAGTACTTGGCCTTTTATTTGAATATTTTCAGCAGTGCTGAAAAATTTCACCTTCATTGATAGCTTTGTTCACCTTTTGATCTCCCTGAAGTGCAGAGTCCCATGTAATAACCAAGATGGAGGGTTGGAGAGATAACTTTGGATTTTTTAAATCTGACCCTGAAGGTCATTAATATTAAGCAATTATTTTATTTTAGTGTAAATGTTTAGTGTAAATGGGGTTGCGGTGGCTCAGAGGTTAAGATGCTGAGCTACAGACCAGAAGGTCTGTAGTTCGGCATTTCGAGACCCTAGTGCCGCGTGACAGAGTGAGCTCCCGTCTCTGGCCCCAGCTCCTGCCATCCTAGCAGTTCAAACGCAAGAAATTGCAAGTAGATAAACAGGTACCACTTTGGTGTGGGGGGTAACAGCGTTTAGTCATGCCGGCTACATGACCACGGAAACGTCTTCGGACAGCGCTGGCTCTTCGGCTTGGAAACTGAGATAAGCACCACCCCCTAGAGTCAGATTCGACTGGCTTTTGAGCAAGGGAAACCTTTACCTTTACCTTTAAATGTTGCTTACCAAGCATGGTAGGATAGATATCCACAAGTGATACCACACTGGATATGACTTGAGACTTAATATTTGGCCCCATTATTAGGAGAGGAATATGAGAACTTGCTTCATACATGCTCATTTTATAAAACTGTCTATGTTCCATGGCAAGTTCTCCATGATCTGCAGTAAATATGACAAGAGTTCTTTTGAGTAGTCCCGTTTCACTCAGAGCAGAAATTATCTCACCTGCAACAAAAGGCAAAGAAATGTTAATAAACGACTATCAGGAGATTTATTACACATCTGAATAAACAAAATGGATGTAGCTCTTAAACATTACACAGAAAGCTTTAAGTAAAAGTCAGCTATGCTCTCCTTTATATAGGTGTCCTTGCTATTTTCAAGGATTCCAAAACTCTTTTTCTTTCCCTTGGAGGATGGAGGGAATTTGGTGATGGGAAGCCATGAAGGACAAATTATTTTCTGCCTAAGAGCTTTGAGTGAATACTTCCCATAGCCAAACATCCATCAAATAGGTTTCCATGTCTCCAGAAAACTCAACTACTAATACTGGATTTTTGAGGAGGTGTGACTAAAAAATCATAGCAATCTATTTTTAAAAGCTCCATTTTACACCCTCCATAAAGATTTCTATGCTACAATAGTCTGGAATTGGCAGAAGAACTAAAAATAGAAGAAGAAGAGAGAAGAGATTGGATTTATACCCCGCCCTTCACTTGGAGTCTCAGAGTGGCTTACAAACTCCTTTCCCTCCCCCTCCCCACAACAGACACCCTGTGAGGTGGGTGGGGCTGAGAGAACTCTGACACAAACTGCTCTTTTTCAAGGACAGCTGTGCCAGAGCTTGTGACTGACCCAAGGTCACATCAGCAGGTGCAAGTGGAGGAGTGGGGAATCAAACCCGGTTCTCCCAGATTAGAGTCGGCACACTTAACCACTACACCAAACTGAATGCGTAGCGATGGGCCTGAATCTGATTCAACAAGGTCAGATCCGTTTTATGAAAATATACCTCAACATGGCAGTTTCACTGATTCAATTGACACTAATGACCTCTAGATGTTGCATATTCACTGAAGTACTTGGAGTATTCAAACACTGTGTCTACTCAATCTGCTTTGAATTTACACCTCACCTCTGGTTTTCAAACTAGTTAGAATTGTTAGCAAGGACTAGGATGAAGTAGTACAAGTAGGAGGATAAGGATAAGCTAACCAAGTTCTGAGATATACTGTATACATTTCCATCTGTCTCCGTCTGTGTAATCATTAGACTTACCTTTTGAAAAGATAAAGCTGAAAGTCTCAGAACACCAAATAATGCACCAACTAGTTATGGAAGAACCTAACATGCACACAGAAGACTCACAACGTAGGTTATAAACTTCATACACTTTGAATGAGAATTTACTCCCTTGCTTCACTTTCTCCTTTTTGATAATGTTCCTCCTCTTCAGGCAATAAAGCACCCAGATACTAAATGTCATGAACCTGAATCTACCTTTCCAAAAAGAGTTGTATCATAAAACTGCTCCATCAAGTACAAGCTGTCACATTAGTACATCTGAACACCAGTTGCTGGGGATTAAGAACGGAGGGAGGCTTTGACTTCCATGCCCTCCCTGTAAATTTTTCAAGGATATCTAGTTGGCCATTATGGAAAATAAAATGCTGAACAAGATGGGCCTTGATCTAATCCACCAGCCCTCTGGTGCTGCGGTCACACATGCTAAATAATCAATTTTCAAATCACTTTCAATGCATTTTCCAGCTGGATTTTGCCACTTCACACAGTAAAATTCATTTGGAAAGTGCACTGAAAGTGGATTATTTAGTGTGTGTGACGGCAGCCTGGTACAGGCAACTGAATAGTTAGGGTAGACCAATTGAAATGACATTTCCTCACATGTGATGTATCCCTTCTACATGACCCTCTCCCCATCCCAAAATGTTTGGAAAATCAAACTGCTCAGGTGAATCACACACATTTGTAACCTGGCTCACAAAAAATATCATTTTCGTGACGGCAGATAAGTTCCCAAGAGACATGGTCTTGGCCTTTAACTATGCATAGGACATTGCCACAGGCCTCTCAACCATCCTTTCTTCATGCATTGCTTTTCAATTTTGTTGACTGAACAGCACAGAAGTCTAAATAAATAAAATATCAAAGAAACCCTTATATCAAACACCTTGAGCTGCTTCTCTACAAAAAGCCAACACTGTGTGTTTCAAAAACAATACTTACAGTCTTAAGACTTTCAAGTATGTGCACGTGTATCATAAGGATCACGCCAGTAAACTTCTTCATTGTAACATTATTAAGAAATACATTAAAATATTGATATGTGAATTATGCTCTAAGATCTCTCTTACCAAGCATGGCATCAGTCTCTGCACACATGGCATAATAATGTGCTCTGATATCTCTAATTTCTTTCTGTGTAAATTTCCCAGTGCAGTTTTTGGTGTAAGAAGAATAATAATCTACTGGGTGCATCTCTGAAAATGGAGACCATTTTGGGATCCTGATGGCTTTATACGTTACCTAGCAAATAGCAGAAATACATTAGTTAGGCAAACATTGTGACTCTACAGTCTGCTAGCATTTTTCAAGCAGGCGCCACAAGGTACACATGCTGACTGAATGTGGGAGTTACAAATAGTAGTTCAAGTTCCTTAGACTGTTCATTCAATTGCATGGGGGAGCTTCAGTATTTAGTACAAGCCAAGGCTATTCTGGGAATCACTGGAACTCATGTAGAATGAGGGCCATAATGTGGAGGGGAGCTGGGTAAGACTTGAGTGAGAAAGCTGGCTGAATCTAACCCATTCTGATTTAATTGAATGGTCTATAGGGGAGCAAAGATGTATTTGTTTTAAAAAAACCTCCAAATGTGGTATCGTGTTTATTTTTCAAAAATGACTGCAAATAAGAATACAGGACAGAAAAATTATAGAAACCAGTGGAATCAAACTCTAATCATACAAATTTCTGTGTACATTCTCTAAGATGAAACCTCTTCCTACAGAATTGAACTTGATTTTTCCTTGTTTATTATAGCCCAGTGTCTCTAGGAACAAAACTGCCTGGAAGATGGCTCCAGCTGATACACGGCACTACAGACCATCTGCTTAGCAACACAGTGTACCATGAGTGCATCATGTTGATGCACTGCTCTAAATTGATTCATCAAATGAATAAAGAGTTTGATTGAATGCTAAGCTCCATTCCAATCGATGTAGTCCAAAGTCCCAAGGATATGAAACTAACTATACCTTTCCAAGAGGGATTTATTTGTTCCATTTTTCTCCCACAAGGTAACCAGATCACACATCATAGACACCTAGTGGGTAAAGGGGGGGGGAGTCAAAAGCCCTGCTTGGTGCATGGAGACCTTTGGACTCATAAGAGCTCCATTGTTTACATATCAAACATTTTGCTTTAGACCACTTTGCCACTCTGACAGGAAGTCGCCAAGCTTTCACTAAGCATGAGTTCAAATCAGTCGTCGTCAACAGATGCAATATCACAGCTGGAGGCAGATGTTCACAGCTATCCCTGAAGAAAACTTCAGATGTAACAAGTTTGTCTCTAGTTCTTCTCCACAGAAAGCAAAATAATCAAACATACACCTGAAGAAATGCTATGAATTAGTGCTGCTCCCAGATTTGGGGTTGCACAAATAGGTAGCACATGGAACCTAAAAAATCAGACTGCACCCACGGTATTGATAGACAGAATCAATCACAATAATAACTTTAAAAAAGGGAAAGACAAGATATAAAATGCCACAACCCCTAAGGGTTGGATGAGGAAGTATGGTTTGCTGGTAACCCATGGAGAAAAAGCCCAAAGTTCATAGAAAAATCTAAGTGGAAAAAATACCTGTGGGGTTAGAAAAACCTAATCATAGAAGTAATGTCTGCTTCTTTAACAAAAATATGCCACTTGGGTCTCATGAGAATACATAATGAGATCTTGGCAGCCATTTTGGCAGTTGCTAGGCAACCCGCAACCAACATTGCTGAGGGTTCCAAGCTGCAGTTAGTGTTAGCATAGGGGATAGGGAGGAAGGAGAGGAGCAGACTTTAAAAAGGTTAAAAAATATATGAGGAAAAGAAGTTAAAACTGGAGTGGAGAGGAACAGAAAAAGGTATAAAGAGAAGGCTGAAGATGGGGGACAGCAACAGAGTCTTCTGGGGGGGGGGACAGAAGGCAACAAGTAGTAAATGTGCCAGGTCTCTGGTTTTGATGGGAGACCTCCCACTCTGGACCCCGGGCTCCTGCTTCTGCTCCTTGGAACAGTGAGAGCAAAAAGAAAAGGGTTGGTCAACATTGCACCAATGTTGTAATATCACTTTGGGCACAAACCCAAAAATGATTTTACCATGTTGGGGCAACACTCTAGGATTCACCCAAAGTCTGTGGTATTCCTGAGTTTCATGTGGTGATAAGCAATGCAGGTAAAGAGTTTACATGGCTTAAAAAAGGATAGCTGAGCATCTTGAGATATCGTCTGAATGATGAAGGGCACATTCCTCAGACCAGGATCTCAAGGCTATAGCAGCTTTGGCCAACTGAGACAGGAATCCCTGGGGGCGGGGGGACTGTTATGCTTGATTCAAAGACATCATCACTAGAAAGAAAGGATATGCCATGTTCCTCTCAAGTAGTAACATTTCATGAACAGCACAAGTGGTACACACGCTGGACTGCTCCTTTCTCAGAGCCAGATTGGAACCCCAACCTACCTTATTAAAAATGTAATCTGTAGTTTGTCCCATGTAGAATGCTTTAGCTTACATTATACGAAACTCTATGAGAAATGGCTACGCCAAGAAATTTTCTAAACAGCTAAAATTCCCATATTTTACAATCTCGCTTTATTCTAGTAACAGAAATCAAGTGTGGTGAAGAGATGGAATTAGTCCTTCCTTTAAAACATTCTGCTGAATTACTGCCATTTAGCAGTTGGTGTCATGGTAACCAGTCTTGGAGAGTGTTGTGACCATAGTAAACCAGCATCTGGGAACAATACAAACTGAATACAAATAAACAGGAATAGCTGATTCCCCCTCATGGTAAAAAAAAAAACCCTCTCATGGGAAAAAAAAATTAAAAAACCTCTCTCATGGTTAAAAAAATGTTGTTCCCCTTCTTGGTAAAAAATTTGCCTCATTGTAAAATACAAAAATACAGACAAATAGCCAGATGTAGGACCCTTGGCTGGATGGGAAATCATGGGGCCTTGCCAGTAAGCCGGGGAGTCTAGCCCCAAGATGCCCCACTGTAGCTACAGGCCTAGTTTTACCTTAGAAGGGGAAAGGTAATCAACTAGATAAGAAAGACAGCCAGAAGAAACTAAAGTTCTTACTTATGCTAAATTGCAACTATTCCAGAAGACATCAATCTACTATGCAACATACAGTACTTCAACAGGAAAAATGTGCTTAACTATGCAGATCAATGCAGGCTGGAAATTGTGATAGCACAACCTGGCAAACCCAAGTCCATAGCAGCTCCAACCAGCTTGGAATCGACTGCCAGGACCCTAGGCTTCTGACTACAGGGATCACCCCGATCTGAGCATGTGTCATCATCCTTTCTGCACCCAGTCTATAGGGAATCAGCAGGGGTTTCCAGGCAGCCACGGCTACAGCCACCCTTTTCCTTTCCCAGGAGATGTTAGATCAGGGCCAGATCCATTACCTAAGGTCCAGCCCTTGAAGCCTGTTACCTGAGAAGAGGCTGGGCTGGGAGGGGGGATGGAGAGGCTTGAAAGCTCCAGGAAATGGGAGTTAGGGAGGAAGACAGAAAGAGAGAGAAGGCTTAACCAGAACAGATTGGCTCCTCTCCTTGGGTTTCCTGGGCCTTGTTGGGGCAAATGCCCTGAAAAAGCATGCTAAAGGTGACTGTGAGCTTCAGTTTGTACATAGTTAAATAAAGTACTAAGGAGTTTCAGCAGCACTTGAAGACTCCTATATCTGTATCCTATATCTGTATCCTGCTTCCGAGAACCATCACAGAAATGTAGGATTATGTAAGCAAATATATTGTTTTGTAATTCAGCAATAACTGCACTTCACACACATGCACACACCAATTTTAGCAGCAGACATGCTCTTATTAAAGCAGGGAATGTTAACCAAAGGACCGTATGTGTGACAGTTTGGTCCCAAGTAATTCTTCCATTCTTCATATCTACATGCCTCTTTCAAGGGCAAGTGTGCTGCCCCGAAAATAAAGCACAATACTTGCTTATTTCATCTACCATGTTCAAAACCATCCTTTAAAAGCCCTTAGGGAAATTTTTGACTGAACTAGGACTACAATGGTGAGTTGCAAATTCATGTGTGTCCAGGTCCTGCTGGACTATAGGCAGCAGGACACTAAAAGGGCAGAGGCTTTTCTTTTTTATTATTGTCAGCTATAAAGTATTGTTATATACGTATTCTAGGGAAAGGCAGAATATGCTTTATTAATTATAAAGTAAAAATACAGAGAAGTGCAGACTGGGTACATGGGAGCCTAAGCAAGGCTAAGTCATGCGCATCTTCTAAAAGCCACAACAAAACACTGCAACAACCAGAACAGAGCAAATTGTTGGCTGCTTACACTGTGGGAATACTGGCAGCACCATAGAGGCAGCTACTGATAAATTAATTTATTCTTATCATTTTCAAAGTGCTGATATTTGCACATAATATTTGGAACATTCCCATAAACAAAACTTTTTTTAAATGAGAAAGAAAAGAACACACAGCTCACCCTTAGAGCCTCAGCAAAGAAACAGTTTGCTTGCGCCTGCTGGGAAATAGGCAGTAGTAGGGTAGAGAGAGAAGGGGTCCTATGTCCAGAGAACTCTTTGTTTTGTGTGGGTATTGCAGGCCTAGGAACTGAAACCACAGAATGTTCAGAATCCTCACCAAAGTACACTTTACAGAAATGGGAGGGGGTAGTTATGAAATTGTCTAAAACATGCACCCTATCTGGTCCCTGAATCTAGAAGCACAATCAAGGGCTAAGTTTATATTTTTATTGTGTTTTATTTATATCATAGGGTTGCCATAAGCTAGAAGTCACTTGATGGCACTTCACACACACACATTTATTTATGAAATTTATATGGCACCTTTCAAGAGACCTGCTCTTTAAAGTTTATTTACTTATTTGTTTATCTCACCTTTCTCTCCAATGGGGCCTCAAGGAGGCTTATGCAGCTCTCCTCTCTGTTTTATCCTCACAGCAACCCTGTGAGGTAGGTTAGGCTGCGTGTGACTGGCCAAAGGTCACCCAGCAAGCTTCTACATGTGCTCCCTTTCATGTGTATCCTTAGACACGTGGACTCTCTAACTTGAGTTCAGGATACTCACCCAGAACTGTGTCCAATTTGGAGGAATTAAGGTCAGTGTCAGGGGAAACCTCTTCCCACTTCCACAACCTGACTACCTTGGAAAACTGAAACACTTGCCAGTTTGGGGAAAAAGAACATGCAGTTTAGGAATCTTACTTAGGTAATGTGCAAGCAAGTTCAAAGTGCATATAATAGGCTACCAGAAACCATGAAACAACCAGATCCTCTCCAAAACAAGGTTTAGAATTTATGGAGGGAAATACAGGGGTATGTGATTTGAAAAGGTACTTAAGCATAAGAACAGTGTAATTGTGTTCAGAAGGTGCCTATGAAGAAGACAAAAAAAGAAAGAGCCATATCTTGATTAAGGAGACCACTGATCCTACCTTCTTCAAAGCAAGGCCTTGCTAGCTCTTATAAAGGTTGCCAAGGCAAATTTAGCAAAGACAGAATCAGGACAGACAACACACACCCAGAAAGGGGTTCCTGGTAACACTAATATAACACAAAGTTGGGGAAGAAGACACCAGATCTAGGGATGACAGCCTCCAGGTGGGACCTAGGGATCCCCCAGAATTACAGCTCATCTCCGGACCACAGAGATCAGTTCCCCTGTAGAAAATGGATGCTTTGGAGGATGGACTGTATGACATTGCGCCCCACTGAGGTCCCCATCCTCCCCAGGCTCCATCCTCAAATCTCCATGAGTTTCCCAGCCTGGATCTGGCAACCCTACCCTCCATCCCCCCACCGGTGGCCGGGGGGGGGGGACCTGAGAACCCTAACCAAACCTAATATAATTGTTAAAGCCATTTCAAACTGTATATGTTTACATACCCTTTCAAGCCAATATGGAGATGTCAGAAATGTGGATGCTCCATAATTTTCTCCTGAAGAGGGTGATGGATATGGGTGAGGCAAATTTAATCCCAAATAAAGAACAAAAGGTTGTGTCAAATTAGTTGCCTTGCTCCTTATCCAAGTTTTTGCTTTATCCGTGATTTCCCAATCTTTCTTCATGACCCTCATGTATTTCTTGTCACCTATGAGTTCTGCCACAGGCCTGCCTTCTTGATGAAGCAAAAAACCAACGTTTCGGGTCCAAGCTTCTACACGGTTACTGAAAATAAGAACAGCATTCAGTGCTTGCCATTTCAGCATATGCATAACCACAAGTAGATGGTTAGAATTTTCAAATTCCAAGATGTTTCCCTTATACACACAGTGGTTTCATTGTATTGGTGCTTCTCACAGGAGGAAGAAATTTAGACTTCCAAGATCACAACTGAGACCTTTTATCTGTTTCTCTTTTAATGCCTTCCCAACCGAACTCTCAGACTGATTTTTTTGCAGTTTCTAAAGACTGTTTGGGATGAGGGCTTCTGAATGAGAGAGGCATCTTCTGTGGGGGTTTTCCCGCCAGTTTCTATTCTATTCCATCTCAAAAGCACCAACATAAAACGGAAGGAAGGAAGGAAGGAAGGAAGGAAGGAAGGAAGGAAGGAAGGAAGGACTACACTGGACAAACATGTTGGTTCCTTTATGAGAGAATCAATAAACAGAAATCTATGGTAAGAAATGACACCATTCATAAACAAATGGAAGACCATTTTAATCTCCCTGGACATGTTACAGCTCTGAAAGTCACTGTAGGTAGGTAGGTAGGTAGGTAGGTAGGTAGGTAGGAAGGAAGGAAGGAAGGAAGGAAGGAAGGAAGGAAGGAAGGAAACCTTCCTGCCAAATATTGTTTTCTTCCAGCATCTCTTATGCCAAGCATCTGAAATACTTTTTAAATTCAGAGGTGCTAAAAAGGAAACTAACAAGAATACTCCAAAGCTGGTATGCTCCTGTAGTTCACAGTAACATCTCAGGTCAGTTCTTAAATGTCTGCCATTGGAAAAAAGTTTCCTTTTAGATTATTTTTTAATCATTAGGCCACTCTCCTTGCTGGGCTTCCCTTGACCTTGCTGTGGTCCTGAAATTCCTAGGACTATTGTCTGCACATAGCCTAGTCATGAAGACTAGAAACTTAATCTGGGGGGGGAAATTACCAGGGGTTGGATCCAAAGAAATCCTAGCTCTAGTGGGAAAGGGGAGACTCGATGATTGTTATGGATCTCTCCCTCAAGCTGCATTCCTCTTCCTACACAGCATCTCAGGCTATTTCTGAAGGTCCCTGGATGCTCAGGAGCAGCTATCCAGTGCTGTGGGGGACTGGAGAAGATCATGGGAAGCTGGAAAGTATCCATTCTGCAATGCTCTTTGGATCCATCCCTAGGATTCTCATAAGTATCTGCATACCATAAAATTGCATTAAAGTGTAGACCCATGGACTTTCGGTTCCCAACCCATCCCCTACGGGCATTTCATTAACCAGTTATAAAAATTTAAAAGATCAGTTTTCTTTTTGCATTTAACATTTCAAAATGTTTCATTATTATTAATTTCACCATACTTAGTAATTAATAATAATTATTATAGTGCTAAAATCATAATAAATACAAAGCTTTCAAGAAAACTAGCATCCCATTTGACTGCGTGCATAATACAATGTAGTACTCCTCCCTGCAAAAAAGGTGACATTTATACATTCAGCTTGAGCTTCACTAAAGAACTCTAGACACGCTGGAGAAGAGAAATGACACACACATCTAGTAATTTTCTCCTTTTTATACAGCACAAACCATGACCCTCACAAATGCTCTGTGTAGGTGCTGACAAGTAGCTGCATTGTGAAGAGAAAGGCTGTAATTTTTTTTAGTACAAATAACTATAAGGCACTTCAGTGCTCTTAACTCTTACAAAAAAAAAAACCCTCTAAGAAGCTTGCTTTCTTTATCATTGATTTTACCATTCCCAAGCACTGACGACAGTGACAAAGATATTTCAGTAACACAAAATTTATAGGAAAAAAAACTGGGGGGAGGGAGAAGAAATTGTTTACAGTTTCATATCCGTAAATGGAACCGAATGAATGTAATGCTGGAGTGTCACGTGATCATCCCAGGGAGCTTATCTCTTCAAGAGAAGATAAGAGATTATAACTCAATGGAGTCCTGAGCAGCTTGAAGACTAAACAAGTATTATGGCATAAATTTAATTGGACTAGTGCCTCCACTTTGCTAGATGTGTGAATTAGGCCCCTGCCACACGGGGGTTGGGGAATTGATGCAGGCAAAGTGCGGCTTTTGAAAGCCGCACCAAAAGAGACACGCGGCGGCGGGATCACACAGATCCCGTGAGCCGCCGCGCAGTTGCTCCCTGGCACGATCAGATGCCGGGGAGAAAGCCATGGAAGGGAGCGCAAGGCCGCCGGCTGTGCATGTGTGCGCATGCGCAGTTCGGCTGGGAGCCTCGACTGCTCCGGAAGATGGGTGCTCCGGCGAGCCGACGGCCGTGCTTGATGCGGCGTTTCCGGTAAGTCCTGCTCTGTTGTGGTGAGATCGCGCCCGTTTGCTGCGCCCCCGTTCCATCTCTCTCCCGGGCCAAAACCTTCCGTGTGACCGGGGCCGAGGTGACGCAACCACGTCGATCACGTTAGGGGCGTGGCCCCGATCGTCGGAGGGAAAACTCTATGGTTTTTCCTCCGACGATCGGGGCCACGCCCTCAACGTGATCGACGTCGCGCGTCACTTCCGGTGATGTGTGGCGGTGCGCACGCACGTCCACCTACGGCTCCCAGAGCCCGGTGAGGCTCCCCCACCGCCAAGATAAATAGACTTGGCAACCCTAGCTAAATCTGTATACATGATGCAATACAAAGATCCCCATTTTTCAATGTATATTTTAATGTGCTACCATTGACTGGCATATTGTAAGCTTTTAAGACACTCTGTAAAAACTGAAATGAAACCAGGATACAGAGAAGCAAACATATGATACTCATAGGGAAAATCTTCAAGGCTGCCTCCATGTACAGAATAGAACCTCTCAGCTATTTACAGCGCAATCTTGCACAGACTTACTCCAGTCTAGGCCCACTGATTTCAATTAGCATAGACTGGAGTAATTCTACACAGGATTACACTGTTAGTAACACGTCTCCATTTGTACACAGCATATGACCCTTGGAGGTCATTTTAATATTTGTATTCTTTATATGTAAGCAAAGCCAACCGCAAGCAAGCCGGCTCCTATGGAAAGCATTAACTGTGAGCAGCTATGTGTTTTCCCTTACGCATCAAGCAGCTGTTAATGTGTGGGGTTGAGATCCCCTCTCTCCCACAGAGCTTCCGAGACCCTGCCAGACAAAGATTCCCCCTGCCTCCCCCCTTCACACAATCCAGACATAACCCAAACATTACATAGAAGCAAACTACCTACCTCCTTGTGTCTCCGAGGTCACCGTGGCCCTCTGAATTTTGTCCCCCTAAGTCTCCACTCACAGTGCTGTGGCCCTCTAGTCTCCTCTAGCCCTAAGTCCTCAATCAAAATTTCTCCTGCCCAATTATGCCTCATTTGGCTTATGAGGGTTATATCAGCATTTTGATTCTAAAACCAGCAACACAACAGCAAGAAGACATACACTTCCCATACAGGATAAATTTCTTTCAACACATAAATCCTTATCCCAGGCTTCTTCTTTAATGGTTAACAGTAATATCTCCAACCCCCATCACACCTTAAACACAGCTCTACTTATAGACCAAATCTATCTCTGGTTTTAGGTTCAGTTTGCGGCTGGATAAACAAATTTTTATCCCACTGTAATTTTTACCTACTTTCTTGAACTTCACAGAAAGCAAATATGGTTCAAGAGAACACTGCAGGTATTTCGGACGTATACTCACTCTTTGTAGACTGTGTTGCTCCTGGCACTACCTCAGAAGATAGTGACCAGCTTGAAATCCATGAGACAATTCTGTCAATACTTTATTTTTGATGCTGCCACTTATGAATAACTAATTCCCATCCAAGTTTGCACATGGATGCTTTCTAATACATTAAGTCAAAGATCCATTAAGGCAAAGGAGATTGAAGTCAACTAGACAAGGCATGGGAGACCTATGATCAGATCCTGGCTCTTTAAACTTCCATTAATAGTAGCCTGTGAGATTCCTCAATTTTAATAGGGACCATAGTATTGAGGAAGGGAGGGATTAACCCTTCTCCTGTGCCATTTCCCCAACAAAATGGTCCATTGAGAACCAGGAGCACCTTCCCTATGTGGAAAGACTGAAGAATATGGGACTTTTTAGTTTAGAAAAGAGACGGCTAAGGGGAAACATGATAGAGGTTTATAAAATTATGCACGGGGTGGAAAGAGTTCACAAATAAAGATTTTTCTCCCTCTCCCAAAATTGATGGGCAGTAGATTCAGGATGGACAAAAGGAAATATTTCTTTACAGAGAGAGTGATTAAAATGTGGAAACTATCAGAGGATGTAGTGATGGCCACAGGTATAGATAGCTTTAAAAGGGGATTAGACAGATTCATGGAGGCTAGGTCTATCTGTCGCTACTAGCCCTGGTGACTGAGGGAAACCTCCACATTCCAAGGCAGTCAACCTCTGAATCCAAGTGCCAAGAATTGTTGGTCCTCCAGAGGAACTAATTGGCCAATGATGCTGGACTAGATGGACCACTGGTCTGATCCAGCAGGACTCTTCTTATGTCCTTACTATTTATCTTGATACTGAACACTTACGGGTGCCTGTAAGTTTCCCCTACTGAGGCAAACAGTTATTTAGAGGATGAGGTGGCAGTTTTGTTAAGAAAACATCACAAGGAGATACTAACCAGGATCACAGTGCTGATCCAAATTCCCTCTATCCTCAGTGGTATTCATTGAAATTTAAAGACGCAGGAGATTTTGATTTAGGATTTTTACCTTCTTGTCTAATCAGGAACAGAGTAGCCCTTTTACCTTAGAACATAGGAACATAAGAGAAGCCTTGCTGGATCAGGTCAATGGTCCATCCAGTCCAACACTTTGTGTCACATGGTGGCCAACCCAGGTGTCATCAGGAGGTCCACCAGTGGGGCCAGAACTCCAGAAGCCCTCTCACCCTGGCCCCCTAAGCACCTTAGCAGAAATGCCCTTGGGGAGCTACCTTGGCAGCTAGGAACAAGCTGAACCAAACCACAGCAGTGCTGCCAGTACCACAGGGGCCACTTGGCTCACCCTCAGCCAGGAGCTGTGACAATGGGCATTAGCTTGCCTGATGCCTCCTCTCACATTACCACTGGGCATGACCAAGTTGAGCAGCCCCTGCAGTGCTGTCACCACTGCAGGGGTCACTTAGCTGAGCTTGCTTCTCAGATCTTTTAGTGTCTAAAATTGCCCCTGAATGTAATTGAGCTCTATAATGCCCATTTAGTAGTGGAAGCAAGAAAGGCCTAGTGACAACATCATTAAGTATTCCAACAGGGAGCACTTAGCACTATGAATGCCTAGGGAATCATCAAAACAAATAAATATTATATCCCTTAGGGAAGTCAGTGTCAATCCCCGTGATGTGGATCACATGACACACTAACTCTTTTTCACACTTGCCTTCATTCCAGTATCCAGAAGGGAGGACTGAGTATGTGACAA